CACACACACACACACACACACACACAGGTACACACAGACAGCTGCTGACCCCATGCTGTGCTCCACAGGTCAGAGACGGTCTCGTCCAATCACAGCGCTCCGTGGCGGTTCAGCCCCGCCCCCTGCTGGAGCCCCTGGAGCTGAGTGGAGCAGAGAGCATCATGGGAGCTGCTGAGGTGGCAGCATGCCAGGTAATGGGGGGCGGGGCCGTCTCTGTTTGTTTGTTTGTTTGTTTGTTTGTTTGTTTTGACCTGTTTTAACCCCAAATAGCTTTAAACTCATGTTTCCTTTTATAAAATCACCAAAATGGAAAAAAAGATCCATTCAGCTGAAGGTGGAACATCTCCAGCTGATGAGCAGAGCAGAGAGGAAAAGTCTGGAGACAGTTAGGATGAGGAGACGACATGAGCACAGAGACACACGACAACAAAGAAAAGACACGAAATGTCAACAACAACAAAAACTGTCCTAAAAACAAACAAACAGCAAAAACAAGACAGAAAACAACACAGAACGAGACACAAAACCCCAAAAGATCAATATGATTGATTGATTGACTGATTGACTGATCGATCGACTGACTGATTGATCATCCGTCCCCCTGCAGAGGCTCCTCTCCTCCGTCTCCCAGCTCTGTCACGCCTGCAGCTCCAGGATTGGTCGGCTGGAGCAGGAAGTCTCCGCCCACCGGGGTCACGTGACGGCGCTGCTCGGCGAGCTGCAGGACGTCTGTCTCCGTGACAACCAGGCCTTCATCCCGGTGAGACGCTTCGTTTACGCTCCGTCCTCGGAGGGACGGGAGACTGACAGGACCCCCAACATGTCATTGTGTTAGCCACAGCGCTGTGTCACTGGACGAGGCAGCTTTATGTGTGTTGTTGTTGGTTTCTGTTGTCTGTTTGTGTCTTTAGCGTCTCGTTGTGTCTCTGTGATTATTTTGTTTCTCTCTGTGTGTCTTTGCCTCTGTTTGTGTTGTTTTGTGTCTTTATGATCGTTTCGTGTCTCCTTGTTTTACTTTAGTGCCTGTTGGTGGTTGTTTTGTGTCTTTGTTGTCTTTCTGTGTGTGTTTGTGGTCATTTCGTTTTATCCTGACACACAAACAAAAGAAAAACTTTATATTTATTTGTTGTTGTGTTTTTGTTTCAGGTGTCAGAATTTCCTGAAACATTTCCATTCGCCGACGTGGACAAACCTCCACCGGTTCTCCTCTCTGATTGGCCGAAGGACCCAGGAGGCAGTCGAAGCCCCGCCCCTGCACAGATAGACCCTGCCCACTAGCCGCCGCTCTGCAAACCCAAAGCAGAGAACAAGAAGGAGGAGGAGGTTGGAGGGTCGAGGTAGACGGAGACGACTCGTCAGGTTTCCCTCCAGCTGCTCGGTGACGGACGCCTGAAGTCCAGATGTTGGCGTCGTGACGGCGACGGAGATCAGCAGCTGCAGCTTCAGTCCAAACACAACCTGTCAGGAATCAAAGACACAACAGGAACACAGAAAAGACGTGTTTTCATTCAGACGGCTTCACAAACAAAACGAGACACAAAACAACCGCAAAAAAATACACAAAATCACCACAAAACGAAAACAAAGAGACGCAAAGTAACCGCAGAAAGACACAAAACTATTAGAAACAGATAGAAGAACCATGAAGGGACGCAAAATGAAACCAAATCCTCACAAACACACACAATCACCACAAACAGACACACAACCGCTGACAGTGCAGAATCGCCGCAGAGCCAAAGTGAGAGAAGTTTCGGAGCAGAAGAACAGAAGCAGGACGGCGTGTTGGTGCTGCGTCGGCACCACGACGGCGTGCGGCGCCTCGGGCAGCTTGTGTGTCTGTGCTGCTGATTCAGCCGGCCGGGCTGTCGTCTGTCGGCCTCCCAGGAGTCGCAGCAGCGATGCAGGAGCTGCTGCTGCTGCTGCATGGAGACGCGCTGATGAGGGCTGAGGAGCAGACGTGGAACATTCTGGTGTTCAGGAATGTTACAGTCAGGAAGGACAAGTCTCCGTCCACAACCCTGGATGTTCTCTGATGGAACCACTGAAACGTGAATCTTTGTCACTAAAACAATCCTGTATGTTGGTTCTTTTATACGTTTATTCAAGGTTTTCTGGAAACATCACACAACCTGCTGGGAAGTATTCAAAATATAAAAATAAATATTCATACAGAAGCTTGATTTGTCAGTTCTGGTGCCGTAGAAAGTTGTGTTCTGAGTTTCATGGCCTCTCACCAAACCTAGCATCCAGCATGGAGGTGGCAGCATCATGCTCTGGTTCTGTTCTGCTGCCAGTGGACCTGGAGCTTTACACAAAGTCAGTGGACCAATGAAGAAGGAGGATCACCTCCACGTTGTTCAGGAGAACCTGAAACCATCAGCAGAAGGTTGATCTTGGACACAGTTGGATGTTCCAACCAGACAATGAGCCCAAACACACATCAAAGTGGTGAAGAAATGGTTCCATCAGGCTGGACTGAAGGTTCTGGACTGGTCTCCCCAAAGTCCTGCCGTCCTGAAGGAGTCGTAGTTTTAAAGGATGTTTTCCCCCAAACTGTATTTATGGTTTTAAAGTTTATTAAACAGCTGAAGAAACTTTCAGCTTCGTGGCTGAAACGAGTCTTAATCATAAGTTCCTGACGACCGTGTGATGGACCAATCGATGGCGGTCCTGCCACCGTCTGGGTTCTGCAGATGCTGGTCCTGATGTTGTTCACGTCGCTGCTCTTTGTGTCCGGATTACTCCTCGTCTCGGCGGCTGCAGGCTTTAGAGCTAATCTGAGACACGGTGGGCCTGAATGAAGCCGTCACACCCGGCCGTCCTCGTGCTAAGCTACGTTAGCGCTGCATTGAGAGCCGGTGACAGCGGAGTCCGGAGCAGCGACTCAGGACCGAACTTTTCTGTCCACGGCAGCGATTCCTTTCAGCCGGGATTTACAGATTTACGGCGAGTGAAGAGGCTCCATGTGACCCGCAGCAGATCAGCCAGACTCGCCGCTAACGGCGGTGACGGCTGACGGGAAACTTCCTCTGAACTCTTTCACCGACGTCAGCGTGTCTGAGGCGCCCAACGGACAAATCAGAAAGAGATGGAAATTAACTCGGCGTCTGCAGAGAACCAAAGAAAGCCTTCGACAGCCAGCAGCTGATGTCAGCAGCACTGAACCGGGCCGACCCGCTGGAGTTCTGGCCGTCTGTGGTGACTGTTTGGTGGTTTCGGCTCTTTTACGAGGATTTCTGTCATTTTTTGATGATTTTAGCTTCTTTCTGTTGTGATTTCTGTCTTTTGTGGAGATTTTTTTGGTCTTTTTTGGTCGTTTTGTGTCGTTTGTGTTGATTTGGTGCCTTTCGTGGAGATTTTGTGTTTCTGTAGTGGTGTGTTTGTGTCTTTTTCTTGCATATTTTGCTTGTTTTTAAGGTAGTTTGGAGTCTTTTTTTGGTGATTTTCCCTTCTTGTGGTGGTTTTGTGTCTTTAAAGTCGTGGGTTTGTCTTGTTTTCTTTTTTTGTAATTTTGCCGATTTTTTGTCTTTTTTCTCTTTTTGTGATGATTTAGTGTCTTTTCTGGTGGTTTTGGCTCTTTTTGTTGTGATTTCAGCTCTATATTGGTGATTTTGTGTTGATTTGTTGCTGTTTGTGGTGGTTTGATGTCTTTTTTGGTGGTTTTGCTCCTTTCATGTTGCATTTGTGCCTTTATTGTAATGGGATGGACTCCAGCCCACCATGACCCTAGTGAGGATGAAGCGGTGTATACATGATGGATGGATGTTTTTGGTGGCTTTCGTCTTTTATTTTGGTTTTGAATCTACTTTGTACGTCTAAGACGTGACGTTTGTGTTCATGCTGCGTCTCTTTGTAGGTCATTAAGTTTCTCTGTTTCTGGCCTTTCTGTGCGTCTTTGTCGTCGTTTAGTTTCACATGTTGTCGGTGTGTTTGTTGATGAGTCCGACCCAGAAGTCTCCATCCGGTCGACCGGTTTAAAGCTGTCAACATGGTCTCCGGTCGTCGGCTCCTTCGGCTCCTTCGGCACATTTCAGCCTGAGTTTGTTGAATCAGATCCGATCTTTGTGGACTGAAACCCACGAACTTGGAGCTGCAGGATTTTCTGGCTGCAGCATTTGTTCACCGTGACGAGTCGAGTGTTTCCTCTTCAAAGTGACACTCAGCAACTTAATCCCATGTTTCCTTTCAGGCTCTAATCCCGTTTCAGCAGCGCGTCGAGGATTAAACGCCTGAAAAGGTCGAGCGTTTCGCCGCTAACATCACGAACAATGACTACAAACAAACATGAGGACAGAGAGAAGGAGCTGGAAGGTGTCGGCGTCCTGCTTTCGCTCCCTCATGAATATTCACGGCGGTTTCATCTCAGAAACTTTACTTTCTCCTCGTCCTCCTGCTGCTGTCCTAGTTGCACCTGCGACATCGCACACATCTCATTTAAACAACACGTCGACTCACACTCCTCCCAGCAGCGACGGCTTCGCTGCCAAGTTGGCGTCACTACAAAGGAGCTGGTGGAGTAATGACACAGATTTAAAGATGGAGGGGGAGGACGAGGAGCCTCAAAATGTCCCGTTAAACCCGCACACAGGCGCACAAACTGTGTTTAGCGTCATGTAAAATTCAGCCGCTGAAGCCGCCGATTGAGGCGACAAATGGCAGAAAAGTGACAAACGGGGAAAACCGACCTGCAGCGGAGCAGATCGGAAGGAAAACCAAGAACCAGCTTGTTGTTCTGGAGCCACAAACCCCCGAAGGCCCCGAGTTTACTGCACTCTGCTGCTGTTCACAGGAATTTGGAGCAGAAGATCAAATCTGTTCAAAGTCCTGCAGCTCTGTTCAAACAGAAGAAGGAGGAGAGAACTCAGAGAGGTCTTCTGATGGCACGACACAATCTTCTCCAAACTGATTGATTCCAGTTTTTTTTTTTCATTTACCGGAATGGAGCATGATGCTGCCACCTCCATGCTTGATGGTAGGTTTGGTGTTCTTGGGGTTAAAGGCCTCACCTTCTCTCCTCCAGACATGGTTCTGCTCAGTGTTTGTTCCATCTGACCAGAACTTTCCTCCAGAAGGCCTTTTCGTTGTCCATGTGACCAGCAGCAGACTTCAGTGGAGCTTTAAGGTTCTGCTTGTAGAGGAAGAACTTCCTTCTCCATTAGCCTCTCAGCTCATGTTGATGTCAGACCCTGTGGACACTGACAGCTGTGTTCCAGCAGCTTCTGGTCCATCCAGAGCTGCTTCCTGCTGGTTCCTGGTTGACTCTTGACCATCCTGACCAGTCGTCTCTCAGCAGCAGCTGCTAGTTTGTGTTTCCTTCCTGATGGTGGCAGTAACACAACTGGACCATGAACTTTATGATGACACACTGATGGTTCTGGTTCTGAAGCTGCTCTGAAATGTCTCCAAGTGACTTTCTGACTGGTTCCAGTCCCTGATGTTCTTCTCCAGATCTTTGCTGAGCTCCTCAGACTTCAGTCTAATGAGTGGATCAGATGGTTCTGTTGAAACTGGATCAGAGGAGTCAGCAGCTGGAGTCGATCAGAACCACTCAGGAGGAGTTAGGAGGCCATGAAGCTGAGAACATTAGAGAAACAGAACCTTCTCCATCAGCAGAACTGATAAGTCAAGTTTGTTTATTTATGATCCAGCAGGTTTTTATCATGTCTCCAGAAAACCTTTAATAAACCTATGACAGAACCAAAGTAAATGACAATGATTTATGTTCCAGTGGTTCCATCAGAGAACATCCAGGGTTCTGGTGGAGACTCCGACTGTCCTGTTGAACATGGACCTTATAGGTGATGGAAGCTTTAGTTGATGACTGTTTGTTTAAACCTGGATTCAGTCCCTTTGAACAGCTGGACAGATTCAGTTTGGAAGACGTCTCTGCGTTCTCTCTCCTCCTCCGTGGCGGTTCAGGACTTTGTATTCCAGGTTCTGTTTGGTCCGTTCGGGCTCCGTCTTTGATACGAGGCTGGTTTCCTTCTTCAAACGCCGCCTCCTGCTGCTGTTTGTTCGACCTGCTTCCTTCAGCCAAGAACACGGGACCAGGACACACAAATCGACCCTCCGAGAGCTTCTGCAGGATTAAAGTGTGTCAGCGACGCTACGCTCGCTCGCTAATATTCTAATTAGCACGACATCAAACCAGGAAAGAGGTCCAGCGGCTCCCAGCAGACGGCAGCCTGTCCAACAGCCCTACCTTCATGTTTACACCTCCGAGCTGCTGCACAACAAACTTTCCAGGTCGATGCGGCTCCCCGAGGAAACGCCGCCGAGCCTGACACGAGCTGCTCGTCACGCTTTTATCGTCTGAAGGCGCCGAACGAGACCGGCGCTGAAACACAGCAGCATCAGGAGCCGAGGACTTTCAACGGTTTTCATCTTTAACGCCGAGGTCTGACGTGGAAGCACCAGCATGTGTTCAACATTTAACGTCTTACAGCCAGACGTCGGTCAGGAGAAGAACCACGGAGACAAAAACACACAAAACTACCACAACGAGCCACGAAACAGGACTGAGAACGAAAAAACAGACACAAAACGACAACATAAGCATAAAAAAGTGACACAAATAACTACAAGTTGTCTCAAAAGAGACACAAAACAACCACAAATGCACAAAAAATCTCAAAAGAGACACAAAATGACAACAGCAACTAAAAACGACCACAAAGACTCAACAAAAATACGACAAAAAGACGCTGAATGACCACAAGAGAGACACAAAATGACTAAAATCAGTCACAAACATCTAAATGAGACTCAAAATGATCAAAAAGACAAAAATGAAAATGAAAATAGACACAAAACAACAACATAAGGATAAAAAAGTGACACAAATAACTACAAGTTGTCTAAAAAGAGACACAAAATGACAACAAAAATGTAAAAATTACCACGAAGACTCAACATAAAGACACAAAAATACGACAAAAAGACACTGAATGACCATAAGAGAGACACAAAACAAGTGAAATGAGCTGCAAATGTCTAAAAGAGACTCAAAGTGATCAAAAAGACAAAATGAAAATGAAAATAGACACAAAACGACAACAAAAGGATAAAAAAGTGACACAAATAACTACAAGTTGTCTAAAAAGAGACACAAAATGACAACAGAGGGACACAAACAGAGACAAAAGGTCTAAAAATGACCACAGAGACACAAAAGTGGTGCAAAAGACACAAAATTGACCACAAACAGCCACAATACATCCAAATAGAGACACAAAATGACAACAGAAACTAAAAACAACAACAAAGACTCAACATAAAGACACAAAAATACGACAAAAAGACGGTAAATGACCACAAGAGAGACACAAAACAGCTGACAACAGATTCAGAATGATTTAAAAAAATACATAAAAAGGCCACAGAGAGACACAAAAGTTGAAATGAAACAAAACAAAGAAAAAGAGACACAAATGGTGACAAAATAACCACAAAGACACACAAAAGTGGCACAAGAGACACTAAATGACAAGAAATAGT